CCGAGGCCGGGTCCTCGAGTCCGGCCTCGCCCCCCGCCGACGGCCGCCTCAAGGCAGCGGCCAAGCGCGTCACGTTCCCGTCGGACGAGGATATTGTGTCCGGAGCTGTGGAGCCCAAAGACCCCTGGAGACACGGTAGCTACGGCGGTGGGGTGGGGGGGGCGATCCGAGGGGCTCGGGGTGCGGGGGGGTCCGGGCAGGGTCGGACCCCGGGCCGGGGGTCACTTGAATCACCCGATGGGATGGCCGAGAGCCGGAGCTCGGAGGGCTTTGGCGTTGGGAAGGTGGAAAAAAAAAGTCTTGGGTTTCTGGTCTCCCTCCCGACCCGTGACGCCGGCCCGAGCGTTTCTGGATTTTCAAAACGCTGGGAAATGAAAAGTTGGGCATCTTGTAAGGTTTGATAGGATGGCAGCCAGCTTTTGGGGGGTTCCCCCCCTCCGCCAGTACCTCCCCCAGCCCTCCCCCTACCCGCCCCCCCAATAAAGAAAGAGCAGAGCGGCCCAGGGGCTACGAATGGGTCAGCACTGGCCGGAAAGGGGCGGTTGGAGGAGCCCGTGGGGAATGGCACGAGATTAAGCGGGTGCTCTGCGAAGCTCGGGGCCCGGGCGGCCATGCCGATCATGCGATCGCTTTCCTCGGCTGGAAGGAGGAGAAGAGGAGTCAACCCTTGCCGGTGTCCGTAAAGAAATGAGAAAAGCGTGGGGTCGGAGAGGGACGAAAAGGAAGAGTCAGCCCCCAGAGAAAGAAGCAGAAATGGTCCTGGCCAGTGTCAGGGCTTGGGATTAAGAAGAAAAGCCACTAGGGCCAGAGGTGGGGTGATGCCCACCTGTGATCCCAGCTATCCTGGAGGCCAGAGACAGGATTAGTAGTTGGAGGCCAGTCCCGGCAAAGTTAAGGACATTCCGTCTCAAAAACAAGGAAAGGACTGTGGGCGTGGCTTAGGTGGTAGAGCCTTGAATATAGGGGGCTGTAGGTTTCATCCCCAGTACCCTGCCCCCAACAAAGCCCAACTCCTCTCCCTCCACTACCACCACCACCCCCCCCAAAAAAAAGGGAAACATGCATCAAGTGTTCACTGTCCACAGGCTGAGGGTCTTTGGCAGGTGGCCATGCAAGGACCTTTTTTCCTCCCTGGGAAGGGTGGGGGCAGTGTAAGGCCTGATGTTGGAGGTGCTGAATAGAAGGTGGGGGGGGGCATATCTGAGCTTGGTGCTGTCTGGGAATTGGGAGGGAAGCAGTCTGTGGGTTTGGGGTCCTCTGGAGGTTGGGCCGGCTTGGAGTAGGGAGGGATGCTGCCGAGTGGCTGGGACTCAGGGAAGATTGGGGGGGAGGGGAACGACACTGTGTGCAGCCGGCCTGCCTCAGTGTTGGAGCAAGCCTGTGGGCTTCCACTGGTTGGTCTGCTGGCCCTAGGACCTGGAAGCACGGGTGGCCTCAGTGGGCATCGGAGGAAACCGTGGCTTTGACAGGAGGGATCTGGCTAGTGGCTGTGAAAAACATGGTGGTGAGTGTAGACTCTGGGTATTCATTGGGAGCCAGCCAGGTCCCAGACGTCAGACAACAGAGCAGGTCAGCCTAGGGTGAGGAATGCTTGTTATCACTGCAGGCTGGCTGGTCAGGACCCAGCTGAGAGGCTAGGAGGGTTGGGGGGCACTGCAGGGAGAATAGGAGAGTTGGGGGGTAGCTCTGTGAACCCCTGATGGCACAGGGGTGGCATCTGAGCTGAGGGCCCAGAAGGATGGGTAATGGAAGAGTCTACCTGGGACCTGCTGGGCAGCGTGACCCCAGCCAAGGTCCTGGGTTGGGTGACGGAGGGGTATGAATCGGGAGGCAGGGTCCTCCCCAAGCTTCTCAGTGGAGGCGGAGATTGGGAACCTGTGTGGGTACCCTCCATTTAATCCTCCCTACGGTGTGTACTCCAAAGGGCTGGGGGATCTACCACCTGTGGGGGTCAGATACCCAGAGCAGGTGAGGCTTTGGGGGGACCTAGGTGGAAATGGAGAGCGAAGGGGGGGCTTCAGCGCTTCCAGGCTGGGCACACGGGTGCCAGGGTGGGGCTAATCAGCAGCTTGGGGCAGATCTGTGGTCGCAGCCAACGCTGCTGTGCTCCCCGGCACAGCTGAGCTCTGTGGAGATTTCGAGAGGAACTTGGGAACTTGTGATCCAAGCACATGACAGTGGCACAGCCCCCTCCTTTCCTCCCCTCCCTCTCTCCTTTCCTTCCCCTGCAGTGACTCATAGCTGGCTCTGCCCAGAGTCCTGGAGAGCGTGTAGGGGTCGCCCACCCAGAGCGTGTCTGGGGAGTGAAGGACATGTCTCCCTCCACCTGAGCTTTGGGGCAGTGAGGACGGTGACTGAGCTTTGGGGAGACCTAAGGCTGGTGGTTTTCTCTGGCACCAGCTACACTTTCCTTCTAGAAACTGGTTTGGCAGGTAGAAGTCACCCGCCCAGGCCGGGAGAGGGGGAAGAGGGAGGGGGTCCCCAGGCTTCTCTGTGCCTTGTTTTCTATCTGTGAAGTGCAATGGGGAATGGGGGGAGGTAAGGGGGAGGAGGCTCAGAGAGAGTCATCAGGAACACTGCTTGTAAGAGGAGCACCCCAGTCCTGCCAGAAGCCACTGAGGCCCAGCCTGAGCCCCTGGCTGCCCCATAGGGTCCATGCTGCCTTGTGGCCACCTCTCCCCTGTCCCCCTGGGCCTGGTGCCCTCCCCCTGTACCCCAGACTCTTGATGTGTGTTCCAGTGATTTCTGTCTGCAGGAGCAGGGGCTGTGTGCAGATCGCCTGGTTCACAGGAGCTAGAAGGGCCTTTTCAAGGAGAGCTCGAGGACAGTTAAGCAGGTGTGTGACAGGATGGGTTCTTCCTCCACCCTCCTGAGCTCCAGAGAGAACACATGAAGCTGATCGGTGGTGAACGGCCACTAGGTCACAGCGATGCTAGTGTGTTCCTGGGAGCTTAGACTGTCAGCTCCAAAGGCCTAAGAAAAGTGCTGGGGAGCACCCGCTTGGCTGCGCATGTCCTCTTGTTCATCCCTGGATCCCTGAGCTGCCCTGCAGGTCTGGCTGCTGGGGGGCTGATCTCAGCCTCGTGTTGGAGACTAAGGTCAGGCAAGCCCTGAATTGTCTGAACCGGGGAGTCCTAGAAACTCACGGTGTATGTGGGGTGGGGGGAAGGGGGAACAGCCTGGCCTGGTGGGGAAGCGAGGCACCCAGTGAGAAGCCCGGCACCAGACCCCTGTAAACTGGCTTGCAGCCTGTGCAGTGCAGGTGACAGTGCCGGCCTTTCGGGGTGAGGCAAAGGGCAGCCCGAGGGGTCCCAGGACAGCTGGGCTGCGCTCCTGCCCCACCCCCCCACCTCCAGCTTGCTCTGACCCTGGGTCGTGGGGACGTGCTCTCTGGAATGTGTTCTCCCAGCCACATAGGTGGCAACATGCGTGCCTGCTACTGATCTTTGCCGCCTGAGTGACTTGGCGACCTGTGACCAGTCGGTCACCTACTCTGCCTGGCCAGGTGGGTGTTAAGGCTGGGGAGAAGACAGGCCCATCCCCGCCTCCATGCATCGGAGTGCGGGAGTGCGGGAGCCAGCAGCAAGCACTTCCTCCTGCCAGAACCAGGCTGGTGTGTCCCTGAGCCCGGGCAGGGCACAGGCGGGGCAGGGACATATGATAAGAGCTCACAGGAGTCAGCCAGGTGCTGCACAGTGGGAGTTTGGTGGCAGAGGACAAGGTGGCATGTTCAAGGAACAGGAAGGAGCATGCTTCCTGCAGTGGAGGCAGGGAGGCCACAGGTAAGGCTGGAAAAGGCTGCAGACATGCCCACCTGGGTGGCCAAAGCCCCCAGATTTTGCACAGCTCTGAGGTGATGGTTGATCAGGACACCCCGCCCACAGGGGCGTGGGGGTGCACACCACCTGTGTGACTTCACCCCTGCAGGGCACCACCAGACCAGGCGCCGGGGTCCAGCATCATCTCCATACCCTATCACTCACCAAATCCAGGACACCTCAGTTCTAGAGCAGGCCTGACCCCAGGATGGGGGTGGAAAATAACCACAGAGGCAGCATCGAACCTGGAGTGTTGAGTCTCAGATCTGGTGCATTTGTGCCCAGGTGGGGCAGTCAGGGCAGGGGGCTTCGAGGCCCATCAGCCTCCCTTTGTCCTGCGGGAGAAGTCTTCTGGCCTTGGGGACCTGAGCCCTCTCACTGGTGGTCTGGCGCCTGGCCTCCCACCGACCTGCCTTTGCAGTTGAGAAGTCTGTCCAAGGCTAGCCCATGCGGGCCTGCTCCCCACTTTTCCAGGCTGCTGATCTGGTGGCACAGGGCTGGAGTGGGTTTTCCGCCCTCTCCGTGGGCTGCAGCTGGGAGGCTGGGGGCTGGTGTTCAAGTTCAGCGTGGGTGAAAGGCACCCCTCATAGCAAGAGGAGTGGGATTCCTGGAGGCCTCCTTGGGAATGGGGAGCTCGAGAGATGGTCACAGGTTGGCCCCCTTTCCTTCTAGAAGGAGGAGGAGGGGGAGGCGCGTGGGGTGGTGGATGGAGGTTTGCCACGGGCGTCTGCAGTGCTCATGTGACTTGCCCAGCGCTTCCTTCCCTTCCCTGCTGCAGCTGCAGCTGGAGTCCCGCTGGAGATGGCCGCTGGTTGGTCGGGGTGGCCTGTCCGGCTTGAGAGCGGCACCTGGGACCCTCCACCTAGCAGCACCCCTCCCTCCAGCACTCTTGTTCTGGGCACCTTAGGGCCAGGCTGGCAGAGGTGAAAGCGGAGCCGGTAGTGACCTCATGCAGGTTCATGTTTCCCAATGGCCAGGTGATAATGGGACCGGCCAACCAGGGCTTCCTTTCTGGAGCTGTGTGACATTTACTCCCGTCATCTAGTGGAGAAAGGGAAAATGAGCCCTCTCCCCTGGTCCCTGGCTGGGGAGGGAGGCACCGGCTTCCCCCCATGAAGCTTATCAGAAGGCCTCCCAGGCCTGTCCACGCCCCAGCTCGGTGAGCCCACCCATGTGGCTGTCCAGCTCCCGCCCCACATGGTTCCCCTCCTCCTCCTCCTCCTCCTCCTCCTCTTCATCCTCCTTTCCCCCTTAATCCCCAGATAGTACTGCTTGCCCTGTCCCTGTCCCTATGCGTTCCCGCTGGGCTCCCAAGGC